GGTGTCCAGTTTTTCCAGTGTCTCTGAAAAGAGGGTCCTCCTCAAAGTCCTCCTGACTTCCAACAGGCTACCAAATTTCACCTCAATTTGCCGCCCCCTCCCCATGTGCGGGCCTCTGAGAGGGGAGGCCAGGAGTGAAACGGGAGACCCCTTCCACACCGCACAGAGGGGAGGGAGACGTGTCAAGGAGCAGCCATACCGCGGGGCAGGATGTGCGAGGTTCCACCAAGAGATGCAGGCCCGGAGGCAGCAGGGCCATGTGGGCTCTGGAGGGAAGGCGACGCTTAAGCTGGGCCTCAGAGGCTCTGCAGGCTCTGAGCGTGTGGAGATTGCAGGGAGGACCTTCCAGGCAAACGCTGGAGAGGTGGCTGCAGGGCGTGGAGAAGACACAGAGGCAGCTGTGAGGAGTGGGCACAGGAGGTGCTGTGAAGAGGGAATTCCTTGGGAGCACGGCTTTAGGGGTCCCTTCTTATCTAAATGGTGGCAACCCCGACAAATGCTGGAGTGCCTCCCACATGGAGACCAGGGGACCCTGAATCCATCAGAAGAAACAGTGGCCCAGTGAAGGTTAAGAGCAGGACGGACACCTGGGTCAGAGCCCAGGCCTTGCACTCACCTGCGCTGGGCCCTCCCGGAGCCTGGCCCTCCTCTGAGAAACCAGGGGCTGGTCTTGATGCGCTCCTGGACCCTGCAACACTGCACTCTGTCACCGTTGCAAGAGCCCACCTTCCTCTTCCAAAGGAAGACTTCCTTTTCTACCTTTAGACAAGTCTCAGGGGGGCATATGTAAATTTTGATAGATTTTGCAGATTATCCTCCAAAATGTTCCCCAAACAAACACAAGTGGGCCCCTCTGTTTCCTGCCTCTAAGGAGGACATGGATAATCTGAGAGTTGTTAACACTAGGTTATGTGTAATCTGCTCAGTGGAGCGGATGGGCTAAGACCACTGGGAGGGGGCACCATGCCCCCCAACTGGGGTCTATGGCCTTGCAGCCAGGGGTCCACTTCTCCTACTCCCCATTTATCAGCCCACACTCCCTTTCCAACAGGAACTTTCCCCAACATCACGAGGAATGCCATTGTCAACTGTGCTGAGATGGTGACCTATGACGTCATCAAGGAGAAGCTGCTGGACTATCACCTGTTTACCGGTGAGGCCCTGGGCTCCAGGCAGACAGCCCTCCCGCAGCAGGGAGGGAACCTGCAACGCCACATAGTGGGCGCCACCCAGAGGCAACTGGGCTTTAGACAGATCAGAGAGGAGCAGTGCCCAGTACATCATTGAGACGAGTAGGAAGAAGCCCTGAACGGGGAAGCCAGGGACCTGGCTGGAGCCCAGCACCACTTCTCACCATGTATCTTTAAGTGGGGATCACCTACTCTGACTTCAGTCTCCTCAAACAAGGTGGTTGGGCTGGATGACCTTCCAACTGTGGGACGGCTCAGTCCTATCTTGCCAGTCCTTACCAGGGGCTCACCCAGGGCAGTGAGAGATGGAAAATACCACCCTTATGCTCAAGTTCACCGTTTAACTGGGGGCATACGATAAGCACACATGGGACAGAAAGCAAGTGCTCATCCCATCTCACAGCCCCGGCTTCGCTCTTCCCTTCCCTGCTGCAGACAACTTCCCCTGCCACTTTGTCTCTGCCTTTGGAGCCGGTTTCTGTGCCACAGTGGTGGCCTCCCCAGTGGACGTGGTGAAGACCCGGTATATGAACTCGCTCCCAGACCAGTACCGCAGCCCCCTGGACTGTATGCTGAAGATGGTGGCCCGGGAGGGTCCCTCAGCCTTCTATAAGGGGTGAGCCTACCCCTCCCGCCTCCATACTCCCTTCCAGAAAAGTTGGCTCACTCTTTCTCCCTCCTTCCCTCTCCTTCCCTCTCCTTTCCTCCTGCCCTTTCCTTCCTCCATCCTTCCTTTATTCCTTCTTTTCTTTCTTCCTTCCTTCCTTCCTTCCTTCCTTCCTGTGGTGAACAGTACAGATGTAAATGCCACAAAGGAGAGTATCAAGAACTATGGAAGTTGGGGGGGAAATGAGCCAAATCCAATTTGGAGAGTCAGGGGAGGCTTATCCGAGAAAAAGGAGTCTAGGGGAGAATGAGCCAAATCCAATTTGGAGAGTCAGGGGAGGCTTATCCGAGAAAAAGGAGTCTAGGCGTAGGTCAAAGTGCTGTCCCCAAATTCACTGGGCCAGGAAGGAGGGAAAGGTGGTTAGTAATCTTGAGAATTTTCCCAAACCACTGCCACACTGTGGATCACCACTGATGGCACCTGAAGGGCCAAAGTATGTCACATTCTCCTGCTTCTGTGTCTTGGCATTTACTGTTCCCTCTGCATAGAATGCCTTTCCCGTGCCATCGAAATGCTCTAAATATTTTTTGAATAATTTTTTATTTTTCAATTATAGTTGATGTACAATATTATATTAGTTTCAGGTGTACAACCTAGTGATTAGACATTTATATATGAAGTCTTCACCCTGATAAGTCTCGTATCCACCTGGCAACATATATGGTTCTTACAATATCACTGACTATATTCCCTGTGCTATACTTTACAGCCCCAGGCTATTCTGTAACTGCCAATTTATACTCCTTAACCCCTTCGCCTTTTTTAAAAATGCACTTTTATTGATTTCGGAGAGAAAGGGAGGAAGAGAGGGAGATAGAAACATCAATGATGTGAGAGAATCATTGATCAGCTGCCTCCTGAACGCCCCACACTGGGGATTGAGCCTGCAACCTGGGCATGTGCCCTGACCGAGAATCGAACTGTGACCTCCTGGTTCATAGGTCGACGCTCAACCACTAAGCCACACTGGTCGGGCAATCCCTTCATCTTTTTTATCCATCCCCTCAACACCCTCTGGCATCAGTCAAAATGTCCTTCAAGACTAATTGACAAGCCACCTCCTCCCGATACTCTCAAGTATCCTGTGAGCTTCAGCAATACTTCCTTGATACTATTCGTATGGTATCTACTACCTCCTACTTTGTGTAACGGTATTTGTAAGTTTAATTTATCCTCCATGCTAGAATGTAAGCTCTTTGAAGCCAAGAACTAGTGGCTTGAACATCTTTCATCTCCCTGAGTCCCAAGTACAAAGCCATCACTCAATACATAGGTTACATCATGATCATTAAGTCACTGAGTACTAGGCCTTGTGCTGAACACTCAACAACCTCCTGAACTGGGCAGTATTGTTCACATTTACTGAGGAAGAGACTCATAAATATCAAGTCACTTGTCCAAGATCACAAAATTAAAACGGCAGAACCATCAGACTTCACCCAACATGTTCATTATAGTGCTAAGCTCTTTTCTTCGCCCTCTCACCTCCCACCACTGATGAGAACTTTCTGGAGCCCAGGGTTAGATTGAACTCAGTAAACAAACAGGTTCTAACTCCTGGGAATGACATCATCAGTCTGTGTTTCCACTGACAGTCTGTTCTTTTCCTATAAGTGCCTCTATGATTACAATCTTAAGTTGTAGCCACTTATCTCTGTTTATTATTTTACTTGGGAAACATTTGCTTTGCATCTCATGGGTGCGGACCTTGTGCTATCCTTCCTCAAAGAGCAGCAGACAAGTAGGTGACATCTACTGAGCATTTTCTGGTACTGGCCCCTGTGCTGTGTGCTGTGCATAACTCATTTAATCCTCACAACAGCTCTATGAGGTAGATACCGTTACTGTATTTTCCTCCTTTTACAGCTAAGGAAACTGATGCTCAGAAAGATGAACTCAGCTGAGATCATGAACCTAAAAACTGGTAGAGCTAAGATTTAAACCCAGGTCTGACTCCAGAGTTCACGTTCATTGCCTCAGGAATATACCCCCTATACTCGAGGCTGAGGGTTCAGAAGAGGCCTTCGCATGAGGTTATGATAACCAAGCCAATTCCTACAGAGCCATTAGCAACCAGCCAGGCAAGGACATTCCAAGCAGAAGGAGCAACATGGGCAAAGGCATGGAAATAAGGGTCTGGCAGAGCAGAGAGGACCAGGAGGAGATCAGCAAAGAGAGGCTGAGGAGGAGGGCAGGGCCAGGTCGCAGGCTCCTCCCGGAGTCTGTGAAGCAAAGCTGAGGTGGGGACAGGACAGGCAGGCGCCCCGGAGATGAGCTAAACTTGGTGTTACACGGTCTTTGGCCTGCGGTATCCCAGCTTCTCGGTGCCCTGGCAGGCACCTCATCAGGGGTGAACATCTAGGATGTGAGCCCAGAATCACCCGGCAGCTGAGGGAGTCACGTGGCTATAAAAGAGCTACTTAACCTCCCTGGGTGGCAGTTTCCGAAAACGACAACTGGCAACAATCAGCTATCTTATAGAACTTCGAGAATAACTGCCTGATAGAGTAACCTGGCTAAAAATGCTCCTTTCCTTCCTTTCCTTCTGCCTGAATTCCTTCATCAGAGAAGAAAAAGACTGAACAGACCTTAGAAAATGTTCATGACTAACAGGTCGTTGGCACTGACGCTGTGATGGGGAGAGCACAGATCTCTTTCCACTCCACTCCGCCTTATGTTTTGGTTGTTTTTCTCATCAGATTTACACCCTCCTTTTTGCGACTGGGAATCTGGAACGTGGTGATGTTTGTAACCTATGAGCAGCTGAAACGGGCCTTGATGAACGTCCAGATGCTACGAGAATCTCCGTTTTGAATAGGTCAGGCCACTTGGATGCAACTGGAACAAAATCAGTTAAGAATGGAATAAAACAGTGGGTCCACGCACACGGGCACAGACCCACACATGTTTACAGAACTGTTTACTTGCTGATGACTCAAGAAACAGAAGGAGAAGAGGAGGAAGGAGTCTGGTCTTCAGTGCGTTGTCTTTTTCTTTTTTTTTTCTTTTTTTCTTTTCTTTTTTTCAGTGTGTTGTCTTAATGTTTTTGTTTTGCACTGATAAGATAGCAAATAAATTATATTAATTTTTGAAACCCATTAAGTTGGATGCCTAACATTTAGGCAAGAAAAAATAAACCAAACAGATCCATTTGGATAAATTGGAAGATTGTAAACTGGAAAATCTGATTAGACAATGAAAGAAAAGACTGCAAGCATTGGTCGGGAGTGGCACATGATAGCTTGGCAATCTGCTAAGGAACCTGGAGGGACATTGCCAAAGCAACATAAAGCTTGTGCCCGCAGCCTTTGATTAACCATGGACCTCCAGCCGTCTGTGTAATGTGTCTGCTATATCGAATCCACTGGGATTCTAGGAAACATGAGGGGAAAAAAAGAGAAAACCTGGAATTTGTACCAAAGGAGCACTGCTGGGCCAGTGTGAGGCCGAGACTCGTCATCAGTCCCTGACAACACTGGAGATTCCAGAGGACAGCCTCAGTCTCCTTCCTGTAAAATGGGAGTAAAAATCCCATCCCTGTTACTTCACCAGGTTATCATGGGATCAAGTGGGAAACTGGACAGAAAAGCACTTTGTAAAATCAAAAGTTCTGTACAAATGTAAATATAAGGACAAGGCCTTGGTAAAGACTTTGTCAGGACAGTGAAGAAGTGCCAGGGAAGTTCTTAAAAGACGGTTGATTAGATTTCAGCCAAATGAACCAGGGACTCATGGGCCAGGAGTAACAGAGGATGACATATAGCCACGGGACCCCACTCCCATGCAGCCCCCATTCCCTGGCTGTACTGTGAAGCACCTTGAAGAGTGTGCGACTTGGGGGGAAGAGATAAATGGTGGAGTTGAGAGCCTAAAGTAGCAGGACTCAGAATTTTTAGAAAATTATTATGACTTAATAAAGGAATTCACCTTGGGTGTTGGAAAGAAAACAGCCACTTTTCTGACTTCTCTTTCTTGGACAGAATTTCACTTTCTTACTTCAGGCTTCCTGTTTGTAAGGGCTGGGCAAGGTCTGCCCACACGCCCACACTGCCTTCTTCCCCCTCCTGCAGGCTGGTTGCTCCGCCTGATAGAGCTTCGGCTCCTCCATCTGTAAAAGGCAGGCTTGAACCAGATGACCTCCTTCTGGATTTAAGACTAGACATCTTTCAGGTTGACACTGGGGACCCAGAATGTTTTTCTGCTTCTTAGCAGCCTGTGTGGCTCTGATGGCAAAACTGGGTTCAAACCTCGCCCCACCCTCACCTCACTAGCAGCCTAACCACCAGGAATCCTGGCACCTCAGTGTCCTACCAGAGAAATGGGAACAATCCCCACCTCACAAGAATGTTCAGCAAAATAATCCCTCCCTCCCCACACAGACTCCTCTACACCTGGGAGAAAGTGAATACCCACTTACACTCAGCACTTTCCTAAATTTAAATTGTAATTTGAGATCATCTACATATATAAACTGGAAAATTCAAACAAAAGCAAAAAGATAAAAATTATCAATTTAATATCTGGTTTGGCTTTCAATTAAAATTCCTGTTTAAAATGTTCTCTTACTGCCCTGGGTGGGTTGCTCTGTTGGTTAGAGCACCCCAATATGCCCAGGTTTTGGGTTTGATTCCCAGTCAGAGCACATACAAGAATCAACCAATGAATGCATAAATAAGTGGAACAACAAATCTGATTTTTTTCTCTTTCTTCTCTCTCTCTCTCCCTATCTCTCACTATAAAATCAACCAGTCAATAAAATAAAATTTCATCTTATTTTTTACTTGACTGACATGTGCAATTGTGTGTGTGTGTGTGTGTGTGTGTGTGTGTGTGTAAATGTTTTTGTAGGGATGATAAGAGGAGCTGGCTGGGCAAATATCTGAGGAAGAGGGTTCCCGGAAAAGAGAAGAGGCAGTCCACAGGCCCTATAAGATTGCACTTGGCATGTTCAAAGAACAAAAAAAAGGCCCGTTTGGCTGGTGTAAAGTGAATGAGAAGATGAATGTGAGAGCATTCATTTATTCATTTATCAAATATGTAAAAGTTGTGCCAAAGGCTGAGAAGTCAGAGAACAGCCTATTTTTGGGAAATTTGGCAGAGAAAGGAAGGAGAAAAATAATGTCCGTTGTAAAAGGAGTAAGCAAAAAGAAAAAAGTAGGCAAGTCCTGCAGGTTCAATTCACATACACACAAACACTAGAAGTAAGGAAAGATTGAAGATGAGGGGAAAAGACTGCTGAAGCAAGGCCCTAGAGAAAACAAAAGAGCACAGAATACTGGGTATAGGTGGGACGAAACGCTCTAGAAAGGATATGAGAAACCTAGAAATAGAAGAGTCATACGGGCAAAATTTTTGAAATAGAGAGAAACAAAATGAAGGCATTCTCCAATCCTTTCAATGAAATTGAGGAATGGTCAAATATAAGAGTAGGGCCGAAACCGGTTTGGCTCAGTGGATAGAGCGTCGGCCTGCAGACTGAAAGGTCCCAGGTTCGATTCCGGTCAAGGGCATGTACCTGGGTTGCGGGCACATCCCCAGTAGGAGATGTGCAGGAGGCAGCTGATCAATGTTTCTCTCTCATCGATGTTTCTAACTCTCTATCTCTCTCCCTTCCTCTCTGTAAAAAATCAATAAAATATATTTTAAAACATATATATATATATATATATATATATATATATATATATAAGAATAGGCTAGTGGGCCTGGAGAATCCTATATAATAAAAGGGTAATATGCAAATTGACCCTAACAACAGAACGACCAGAACAACCACTGGACCAGTCACTATGAGGTGCACTGACCACCTCTTCGTCCCTTTCCCTGGCCAGCAGGCTCCGATTGCCTGATGGCCACCCAGGGCAGGGGGGGGGGTCCAACGAGCGGGCTGGAACAGCCGACCTCTTGGTCCCTTCCCCCGGCCATCAGGCACTGATCACCCAATGGTGAACGGGGAACTGGGGGTGGGTAGTGGCAGGGGGAGGGGCTGGCTGCGGGCAGCTGGGGAAGATGGCCCTGAGCACAGGCCAGGCCTAGGGACCATACCCACACATGAATTTTGTGTGTTGGGCCTCTAGTTATCTATAAAACAGATGATTTTAAAAGCTCTTTTTTCTTCTTAAAATATAATCTAATGAAGAAACTTAAATTCTCTGATGCATCCCTGACACTGTTCTCTGTTCTCTCCCATAAAGCAGTCCAGGCATTCTAAAGCCTATAGAGCAGTAGTTCTCAACCTGTGGGACGTGACCCCTTTGGAGGTCGAACCACCCTTTCACAGGGGTCACCTAAGACCATCGGAAAACACACATATAATTACATATTGTTTTGTGATTAATCACTATGCTTTAATTATGTTCAATTTGTAACAATGAAATTGGGGGGGTCACCACAACATGAGGAACTGTATTAAAGGGTTGCGGCATGAGGAAGGTTGAGAACCGCTGCTATAGAGTGAGGCCTCCATCAGGCTCCCCACAGCTGTCCCAGGGCCCTCCCACCACAGACAGGGAGTCCTACATCAGGCACAGCCACCCAGAGAGCAAGCTGCCCGCCAACATGCGACAGGGTCTTGTAAATTCACAGAGAAAATATGCAAAGCAGGTTGTTCTCTACATTTCCAAAATCAGTTATGACACAGAAATATAACTTAAACATGTCAAGAAAGATTAATGCAAATACTTTGACGAACTATTATAGTCAGTATTATTTCTTGCTGTATCTTTACCTTTAAAAGGCCTAAGGACAACTTTTTTTGTATTACAGAGGACATTGTGAACAGTGATAAGATTTATGCTTCACTGCCCAGTTTTCCTAGGGCTGAGTGTTTAAGTTTTCTTGGCATAAAAAGGTAGGAGTACAGTGATATTATAAATCAGTCTAGATCATCAATTTATTTTTTTTGAAATTTGAAGAATGTTCACATGTGATGTGTCCATTTGAAGAATGGTCACATTGTTTACTAATAATGCCAGTGGAGACTGCCATAGAGGAGGCATGGTGGGTGGTGCAGGCTGGTCAGATAATGACATAAAAATATACAGAACCATACTGTAGATAAGATCACCAATTTAGGCCCTCAACTCTCCAGATCACTAGAGATTACAATGTGATACATAGTTTATACAACAAATGTTTTATTTTAATGTATCACTATCTAATGACAATTTTATTCTCTTTAAGATTTTGTAATGAGTTGAATGCAAAATGACTAGACGATGGAACTTTCGAACTCTATATTCTTTTCAATAGTTGAGCATACTAATGTTGCAGAGCTTGCAAATGGCCTTGAGATAGACTTTCCCTTGTTAAGAAATGTATTTCTATGTATTGCTAATTGGGCTTTGCCAATAAGAAGACAGGGCCCTACCCTGGCTGAGTGGCTCAGTTGGTTGGAGCGTGGTCCCGTACGCCAAAAGGTTGCGGGTTCAATCCCCAATTGAGGCACACGTATGGGAGGCAACCGATCCATCTCTCTCTCTCTCTCTCTCTCTCTCTCTCTCTCTCTCTCTCTCTCTCCCTCCCTCTCATCAATAAAAACATATCTTCAAGTGAGAAAGAAGAAAAATAATGGGGGGCGGGGGGGGAGAAGGGGGAGGAGGAGGAGAAAAAACAGGGCCCTGCCTGAGTAGCTCAGTTGGTTAGAGTGTCATCTTGATATACCAAAGTTGTGGGTTTGCTCTTCTGGTGAGGGCACATACAGGAAACAACCAATGAGTGCATAAATAAGTGGAACAACAAATCAATGTTTCTCTCTTTCTCTTTCTCTTTCTCTTTCTCTTTCTCTTTCTCTTTCTCTCTCTCTCCCTCTCCCCATTTTCCCCGCCTCTAAAAAAAATAAATAAAAATATTTTAAAAGGAGAGACAGTAATAATGTGGATTGTCGGGTGTGTTTCCCTCCACGTTCTGCGTGGTTTAGGGTTCGGGTCTGAAAGAGGAGCCGCACACAAATGAGAGAGAAAAGAGACGAGATAATTTGGAAATATTGGGGGACCAGGGGGGCAAGTCCAGAAGGACTTCCACTGAAGCTCAGGCCGCTCTAACCTTTTATTGATCTGGGGTAGCCCTTAGGTAAGGAGATTCCAATGACACACAGATTAGCTCATCAGCAGACAATTTCCAGAAATAGGCAGAATATCTAATCAACAATAATCAACAAGGATTTACATAAGTATCTAAGGAATTAAGTGAACTAAGGTGGGGATGATGCTTCAGCTGCCATTATCTAGATTAACTGGGTGGTGCACAGCCCCGACCTTTGCTAGGGCTTCAAAGGTCACTAGCTTTTGGGGGTCTCTACTCTTCTCTGCTAGTGAAGACCATAGATAGTTTCCGACAGTGGATCAACTTCATTCACAATGATAGAATGTTTAATCTGTAAACAAATTTAAAAGTACTTTGGATCCACAAAAGATCCTCTTACCACAGGATGGAAAGGAAAGCAGGAGTCCTGAACAAGAAGCTTTGTCAGCTCTGATGCTGATAAAAAATGAAGATCCAGCTGACACAGGCAGTATAAGCAGTTTGGGTCTGTCTACAGGATACACAAAGCTTATTGATTTCCTACTTGATTAAACTCTCAACTTTTTAATGATGAGAAATCTTTCATCAAAAGTTTGCAAATTCTCACGTAAGTCTCTGGGACAGCTTCCTTACAAAACTAGAAAAAGTTCAAAACACTGGTGAAGAAGTACGGAGGTATCCTGACCAGGAACTTACCGAGAAATGCAATACTGTCTCTCTGTATTAATAATGTTATAGTCACACAACTGCATAGCAAGAACAATCCAATTATGATTTGCCTCTGGATTTCCTACACTGTGGAAGCCTTCTTGATTTGGACCCTGCGACTTATAAGCACAGTTCTAAACAAAAATTAGACATTGCTTGTTTCCACGGCTCCTCTCCCTAATGAATTCAGCCCACCAGCCATAGTACTCCCCAGAATATTAGACCAATTATCCAGAAGTCACTGCCCAGAAATCAGCTCCTCACTTACTGTACTGTCCAAAACTACAACACTTCAAAAACCATCAGAGACATTTCAGGGTTATTACTGAGCGTTACTGTTTTTGGAGTCATAATCCTGAAGTAATCCCTACTTTAGCTCAGATGTTGAATGATGGGATGAGAAAAACCTTTTCCATTTGATAGGAAAGCAGAGCTACAAGGAGAGTTTGCTTGTGTCAATATGGGTGTTTACAAGCGTTACAAATACCAAAGAACGTCCAGCTGGAGTGGCTCCGCGGTTGAGCGTGGATCAATGAACCACGACGCCACAGTGCAATTTCCAGTCAGGGCACCTGCCTGAGTTGCAGGCTCAATCCCCAGTAGGGGGCCTGCAGGAGGCAGCCAATTGATGAGTCTCATCATTGATGTTTCTATATCTCTCTCTCCCGCTGCCTTCCTCTCTGAAATCAATAACAACATATTTTCAAAAACAAGAAAACAAATATCAAGGAACAAAGTGGGCTTGTAGGGGTTTCTATGGATATGTCCCCGTGTCTACGCTTCTGGTCAACATGCAAAATGAAAACTTGGTGGCACTTCTGGTGAGAAAGGAAAACCTTATTTAACTTCTAGCTCAGAGCAAATGAAAGTACAGAATCGTCGGAAACAGTCATTGAGGAAGCAACTGAGGAGTCAACAATAAGACAGAACTCTGATGTTGCCACAACAGAAGCTAACTGGTTTCCTCTGAGCTGTTTCTCATTTAATTCAGAGTTGTTTAGTTGTCTAGCTCTGAATTAACTGAGAAAATTTGTAAGAAAACTGCTACACACAACCTTTGAAGAAAAGCCTTCAAAAACTGACATTTCAGTAGAAAACTCTCTGCATGTCCTTGACTTTGTCCCCTCCTTTAGGAAGGTGCTCCTACGCTGGATGTTCACAGGGAGGCCAGCTTTTTCACGTTTGCTTCACTATCTTATGCTGGTCTCGCTTTTGCACTGAGTGCAAGACCAGCAGTGGGTGGGAGACCCCACAGTGCCAGAAATCGTTTTTTTACTTTGGCTTCTCACTTTCCACTGTGCCTCTGCTTCTACCAGGGCCATGTGCTCGGGTGTTTTTTCTTTCCTATGTGAATGGATCAATGTAATAAACCTGACAACGGGGGGTGGGGGGGTGGGAGGCAATATGGCAGGTCTGACAAGCTCAGTGACCAAAAATAACCACACAGGATGGTCTGAGCACAAATTCCTAACTGGGCAGGTCACAGCAGGTGATGTCCCAGGCCTGTAGCAAGGGCTAACATTTACCTTAGAAGTGAGCCATGACCGTTCTTTTTATTCAGTTAGGGTAACATACCATTGAAATGTCAGAGTAATTTTCTTTTCCAGATCCCCTCAAAGGCACACCCACAGGGACCAGAACATAAAACCACCAGCGCAGGAGACCACAGCACCCCTCATGGCTATCTTGTTCCCACATACCATCCCAATGGGCTGTAAATGTTAATTATTAACTATCTTGTACCCACCAATGTAAAGTACGTCCGTTTCTCTTTTATGCTTTATATCCAATCCTAGAGATTTTTCTGCTTTACTTTCTCCCGCCTCCTTCACCTATCACTAGACTTCATGTACCTTCCTTTCTCCTGATCCCAACGGCATAAAAGGAACTACCAAACTGCCATTCTCCGGAGCATTTTGCTCCCAGGCACCTCCTATAAAACTTAGTTCAAATAAACTCCTATAACACTTTCCTATAGGTTTCAACGTTCTTTCCTGGACACTTGCTGCAATTATCCATCCCATTCCAGCTAGTTTCCTCGGCTGACAAGTCCGTCTGTTTGTGGACAACACAGAAAACACACACCCGGAGCCCGACTGACCAGGGTTAGAGTGAGGGCTCACCACTTCCCAGCTGTGACTGTTAACGTAAAAACCATTGAAACCTGTAAAGAATTTTGTGAGTTTATTTGAGCCAAACTGTCGACATATGCCGGGAAGCAGAACCTCAATGAATTGAGATAAAGCTCCAGAGAATGGCGGGGTTACATTTGTATTTATACATTGCAATCAAAGGAGGGACATAGGTGGGTTACATGAAATTCAATTAACATGATAGTGAAGGAATTTGTGGTATCTGTCCTGGCGCCCAGCACATTTGGTTGTGCCCCAGGGCTCCAGAAAAAGGGAAGTCACAAGTTACCCAGACATTTCAAGGGTGTGTTATCATAGATGCAAAAAGACAGATAGGCTCAGTTAAGGTAAAGGTTGACCTTGTCAGTGAAAATACTGGCCTAGGACGTAACTGCCCACCATAACTGCTTTAGTTAAAGTTTAATTTCAGACCATCCTTTGTGGTGACTTTAGGTCTCTGAGTTTGCAAGACCGCCATGCAGGCCTCCCCTGAGCTTGTCAGGTCAGCGTGTGGCCCCTTTCGTCCACATGACATTAGGCAGCTGATTTCACCTTCCTGGGCCTCTGTGTTTTCACCTGTGAATGGAGGTTAACACCTGCCTCAGGGAGTGGTGTGGAGTAGCCGCCCTGAACCGGAATTAGTAACTGCACTCACCAAAGTTCATCGCCCCTGGTCCTCCCATTACACTGCTCAAGGCACTTTCTTTTTTAAAAAATATTTTATTGATTTTTTACAGAGAGGAAGGGAGAGGGAGAGTCAGAAACATCGATGAGAGAGAAACATCGATGAGAGAGAAACATCGATCAGCTGCCTCCTGCACATCCCAAACTGGGGATGCGCCCGCAACCAAGGTCGAACCTGGGACCCTTCAGTCCACAGGCCGATGCTCTATCCACTGAGCCAAACCGGTTAGGGCTTGCTCAAGGCACTTTCAACAGCAGCCCAAACTGCACATATTGAGCCTCTACTATCCTATATAATAAAAGCCTAATATGCAAATCAACCAAACGGAGGAACTGCGGGTCTCTATGACGTGCACTGTCCACCAGGGGGCAGATGCTCAACACAGGAGCTGCCCCCAGCCCACAGGCCGCAGGCTAGCCAAGGCGGGTGCCAGTGGGGCCTCCCACCCCCACATTGCCCCACCGGTGGCCCCACAGATTGGCCCTGATCGCCAGCCAGGCCTAGGGACCCTACCCGTGCCCAAATTTCGTGCACCAGGCCTCTACTAGGTTTATATTGGCCCTTGGAGGGCTGTGATAATGCAAATACTGGAAATAGCTTCCTGGTCTGAGGAGCTTACAATGTAGTCAGGGAGACAGCGTCCCCTTACAACAGTCCTGGAAGCAAAGAGGACAGCAGTGGAAAGAAGGGACAGAGAGTACACAAAAGTAGGGACACAGAATCCAGGGGCGAACAAAACCTAACGCGCGGGGCGCCGGTCCGCGCGCCTCACGCTTGGTGCCCCACCCCACCCGGCCAGAAGCCTCCCGGGGCGCCGAGGCGGGAAAAGGCCGGAAGTCCAGCTGTCCCCAACGGCCGCGGCGGGCCGGCCACCTGCTGCTGCCGCCCGGATTGGCTCCTTCCGCCGACGCGGCGGCTTTAACCAATCACCAGCGAGGCCGGTCGGGAGGCCCCGCCCTGCGGGAGCCCGCGCTCGCGTTCCCGCCGAAGCCCGCGGCGGTTTGCCGAGCCCTGGGACGCTGTTGGAAAGGGCCCTGGCGGGGAATACGGGGCCGAGGCGTGTGCGACGCTGGGCAACCTCCGCTTCTTTCCCTGGCGTCAGTCTTGCCAGTCTCACGACATTGGCGGACGGGGGCAGGGAGGGACCCCGGGGGTGGGGGTGCGCCCGCTCGCCCGGAAATGGGTGCGCAGGAGGCCGCGTGCAGCGAGGGCCGCGCCGGAAAGGCGGCGGCGAGAGAGGGTTGTATCTCCAAGCGAGAGGGCCCCGCCGGCCCCGCCCCTGCCCGCAGGCCCCGCCCCCAGAACCTAAGCCGCCGGGGCAGCTTCCGCAGACCCCACTGCACGCCTGCCCGACCGCGCCCTCGGACACCATCTACCCTCCGTCTCCCCGACCGCCGACCGCCAGAGCCACCCGCACGCTCGTCTCGTGTTCTCCCTGCGGCCCGGTGAGCCCGGCCCCGGCCCGCCCAGGCCGCTCCTGCTGCACATGCTCTGCGCCTGCTACCGCGCCTCCCTCTCCTTACTAGTAATTTCCCCTTCTCTGCTCCCAACCTATTTTGTATTTTTCCTCTCGGTCCGTCCTTTCTTTATCTCTCTTCTTTCACCCTTTTCCTATCTCGCTTTTGTTCTTTACCTCCCGCGCTCAGGTTTAAACTTCACCCCCCACTCCCTTCCCTCGGCCAGAATGCCAGCCCTGCCTTGGGTGGGGACTTCCTGGCGCATCCGCGATGCCCAGGAGGACCTCTCCCTTTGCCGGGGGCTCCAGGCCTTTGTCGGAGCTACTTCCGCTTGGAGGGGCTTTGAGCCGCTTGAACCGGCCGCTGCTGGGCCTGATCCCGGCTCCTCTAACCTCCTGGCAGCCCTGCTCTGGGCCCTGGTGGACTCATCGAGTCTCTCTTGACCCATCATGACACCCCCTGCTCCCCCCCTCCCCCCACACACACACACTCCTGCTCACCAGTCTGCTGACGGGTTGGGGGGCCACCAAAACAGAAGCCCGGGAGAGAGCCGATGTGTGGTGCTCAGCAGACAGGGAGGGAGAATTCCCGGGGTCGGTTCCTCCCTCCATTGCGTGCACTGAATCGGTCCCTGGGGAAATGGCGCCTGCCCCCCTCCCCGGGCACGGACTGAGTGGGCTTTGTGCCTGGGACAGGTGCCCTTTCCTTCCTAGGGTGGGGTCCTTTTAGGTGAATTTCCTTCTAAGTTCCCCCTTCTTTGCCCTTATTCACAGGACACATAGTATGACCTTTAGGTGTTTCGTCTCCCGGCCATTTTCTATGGGAAACCAACAGGACCGGACCATGAAAGCTACTGGCAGCTTTGAAGAATGGGACGCCTTTAGAGAAGCTTGATCTTGGAGGCCTCGGGGTGAGACCTTCCGGAGCCGGGTGAGAGTCCAGTCGAAGGGGGTCTCCTGCTGCCTCCTAGCCCTCGGGCCTGGGGTGGAGGTGGGGTGTCAGCAAGACATTAACAACAATAACTGCCGCCGCCGCCCCAGGGAAGTCACTCTTCACAGTTCACAAAGCCTCATGTATCCCTGCTCTCATTCTGGCTCTTGGGCCGACCCTGACAAGCCAAGGATAATGGTCCCCCTTATCACAAAGGAGGAAATTGAGCCCCCGGTGGGACAGTGGTTGGCCCTGGGTGACCCTGGGAATCAGCAGAAGAGGAACCGATTGTTCTAACGACATGGAGTTTTACTTCAGTTTTGACTGCCCCCGAGACTGAAACTGGTAATGATACATTGCTTTTGGACACCGAAACTGGTTATTTGCTGGGGACTGCAAAATACGATTAATTCTTTCTAGGCCTGAGTTTTACTCACTCTTTTTAGTAGGGTCTTTAGCAGAGGTGACCTTTAACCCCATACCATGCCCCTGAAGGACCTGACTTGTGGCAAACCCAAGGCAACATTCAAAATGGCAGCTGAGTCTTTGTGTGCTTGTCCTTGAGGTGAGACTCATGTCCTCATGTCTCAGATGCCCAGAGAAGGGATGCCACTTGGCTTTCCTTTCTCAGAACTGCCATATTGGCACGAGGGAATCTGGCTGCTGGACTCCGTTGTGAAAGGCCCTGCTTGTGCCTGGGGCTGAGAAAACCACAGCAAAGAAATGAGCTGGGCACAGGACAAAGCAAATAGCGTAAGCTTTGGAGCCTGTAGACACAGCTGTCTTACTAAGTTCCCTCCTCATCTGTAATAAGGAAGTAAGGGTGGCCACCTCGCAGGGCTGCTCTGAGGCCCAGTGGGCCAATAGAGTGCCCCAGGCCGTGGAGCACCTCCTGGGGGATGAGGGTAGCAGAGCTGGGAAGCCAGGGAGTCTGGAGCATCTCAATCCTCCACCCATTGTGCCATTTGAGCGCCCACCTTAACTGAGCCTCAAGTGGGCCAGGCTCCAGGGAAGGGAAAACAAGCCCCGCCCTATAGGAGCTCCTGATGCAATGGAGTGGTGAGTAGGCCCCGGATTTCCCTGTTTGCCCCTGCCACCTGGGCGAGGAAGCCAAGGAGGAAGCAGCTTGTGAGCTGTTTGTTTCCATGGGTCTGTGTGTTCACAGCTGACTCCCACAGATCCTCCCTTTGCTGGTCAGCTCTTGCCTCCTGGCCCCAGCAACAGAGGCAGCCAATCAGGCTGGGTTCAGAGCAGCTGCTCCTATGAAATCAGAGAAGTGAGCTCAGGACTGTCCTCCCCCACTGGGGTGCTGGGCTCACTTCCTCCCTTCTGCAGCGGGGGAGGGAAGGGTGTTGTTCCAACTCTAAGAACAAAATGTGCTTTTGGTTTCCTGTGTCACTCTATCTCTGACTGCATCTCCCCACCCCCATCTCTTTGTGGTGATGTTGTGGGTCCCCCGATGGTGGAGGAGGTTTTCCCTGAGTAACACAGAGGGCAGGGGAAGAAAGTTGAGCACCTAGGCACTACTCTCAGCCCCGAGAATTGCCTAGGATCCTTCAAGGTCCAGCTAAGTGTTACCTTGCCTAAGTCTTCTGGTGACCCACTCTTCCTTACCTCTCTCCTAATAGTTAGCTGTTACCTCTTCTGCAGTTTGACAGTATGTCCTGCAAGCCCCAGTGCAGCTTGAATCACCTGCCTACTCCCTGGGCCAGACAGCCCCCTTTAGGGTAGATATTGTCTCCTGCATCTCAGTGAACCAGGACCTACCTCGTTCTTGTTGAAAGAATGATTCAGGAGAGCCCACGCTGTGCAAGGGCTGGGGGAAAGAATGAGACTGATGGGATGGGAAGGAACTGAATACCCATTCCTTTTCTTACAGACTTAGACAATTCCAGACCCTTAGGAATCTCTCTTGTTTAAGAAACCCAGGTGGAAGCCTTCAGGTTTATGCCTGTCAGGTCTTGGTCTGGCTGAAACCTTCTCCTCACTTGTGCCCTTCAGACAGATCCGCAGGCGCAGGAATGTGGGCTTCATGAGTGAAATCTCTGGGCCCAGCAGACGGAGGTCTGGGCCAGGGCCTATTTGAGGCAACACTAGAATATCTGTGATCCAGACTTTCCCGGTAGTGAAAACTCTTCACAAAATTTGGACTCCTTGGGCAGGAATTGCTTCTTCAGCCCCTGTTTGAGTACCTCCAGAGCTCACTGCAGTTTTCCCTCATAGGGTTACTCTGGTCCTTGTTTAGGGAGATGTTGCTGTCAGAGAAGGTAGGGGTCGGGGTGGTGAGCAGGGAAATTGATGGGGCCTCTCTCTCCTTGGTTAGATTCCGGCAGAGTTCCTCTATCTCGTCTTGTTGCTGGTTGAAGGTGCGCCCTTCTTCAACTTTTCTTCATCTCCTGGAAGACAGCAGAAAATTGGCATCATGGTTGGGTTTAAGGCCACAGATGTGCCCCCTACTGCCACTGTGAAGTTCCTGGGGGCTGGCACAGCTGCCTGCATTGCAGATCTCATCACCTTTCCCCTGGATACCGCTAAAGTCCGGCTGCAGGTGAGGGGATGAAGCCTGGGAATCCTATCTAGTCTGTTCCCTCCCCAAGACACAGACTCCTCAAGGGCCAGTGGGTTTGGGTCAGTAAACTTGGGAGCATGGGTATGCCAACCTGTCCATTCCTATACCTGTCTTGGCCTTGCAGATCCAAGGAGAAAAGCAGGGGGCAGTGCGAGCTGCAGCCAGTGTCCAGTACCGCGGCGTGCTGGGCACCATCCTGACCATGGCGCGCACCGAGGGTCCCCGCAGCCTCTACAATGGGCTAGTCGCCGGCCTGCAGCGCCAGATGAGCTTTGCATCTGTCCGCATTGGCCTCTACGACTCTGTCAAGCAGTTCTACACCAAGGGCTCTGAGCGTAAGTGTGGAGCTGGGCTGTAGACTCCTTAGCCTTTTCTTCTCAGTCGTGATTGCTCTAGTTCATTTCACTGCCTAGCTCCTTTAGGGCCCTGATTCTCCTAATGATTTCTGAGCTTTTGGGCTGTGCCAGCTCTGAGTAGGGTGTCCTCCCATGATAATCCTCACAGCCACTTTGAGAGTAGATGGTATTCCGTGTTACAGATGAAGAGACTGAGCCTTGCTGGAGGTAGCATGGGAGGAAGGACTTAGCCAAGGGCACACAGAGGGAAGCAAAAAAAACACACCCAGGACTTTATCTTCCAAAGGCCAGCACTCTTGTTTCTTCTCAGCGTGCCATGTCCACCCTCTGTTTTACACATGTGGAAACAGCGGGCCCAGATTAAAGATTGACTTTTCCTAAGATCACGTGGCAAGGAGAAGTAGATCAAGTCTTATGTGTCCCAATCCTTGGAAAAGCCACTTCTCTCTGAACCTATGTTTTCTCATTTGTCAAATGAAAATGACTCTGGTTTCTGAGGGCTGTTGAGCAGGTTAAGTGAAGTGAATGAAAATATTTTATGAAAGAAAGCACTAAAGTCTCGTTTTGTCCTACTCCCTGCTGTGTCCCAGTGCCTAGCAAGTGCTGGTAGACAAAGTAAAATCTTGTTTGATGTGAGGAGTTCTTAGAGGAAGAGCTGGTCTGGATCCTATTCCCAAAAGGCAAGGGACGGTGTATTTGGTGAGGAGAGGCAGAAAATGAGTGCAAGCCCAGCTGGACACTGACCTTCCTGGTTCGCCCACAGATGCCGGCATCGGGAGCCGCCTCCTGGCAGGCAGCACCACGGGTGCCCTGGCTGTGGCTGTGGCCCAGCCCACGGATGTGGTAAAGGTCCGGTTCCAGGCTCAGGCCCGGGCTGGAGGTGGTCAGAGATATCAAAGTACTGTTGATGCCTACAAGACCATTGCCCGAGAGGAAGGGTTCCGGGGACTCTGGAAAGGTGTGTACCAGATGTTTCTTCTTTCCCTTTTTTTTTCTTCTTCGTCTCCCCTATTCCCTGGTCTCACGTAGACACTCCTTCCTTCCGTAGGGACCTCTCCCAATATCGCCCGTAATGCTATTGTGAACTGTGCTGAATTGGTGACCTACGACCTAATCAAGGATGCCCTCCTGAAAGCCAACCTCATGACAGGTGAGTTAGGGTAAATGGTCTGGGTCTCACCCTTCCCCCAGCCCAGGATCAGATGTGGCAATCTGATTGCCCGAAAGCCACATCTTTTCATCCTGTTTCTTCTTGGCTTGTAGAATGAGGTCCTCTCACTAGCATATTGAAGCCAAGTGGAATGAAGTTCCCACTTTGCACACTGAGGCTTTGAGGCCAGGCGGGCAAAATGACTTTTAGGTTCTCAGGAGGGGTCCCAGTTGAAGTCTCTGTCTAAAATCACAAGACCCCAGCAACTTAAATAACCTCTTTCCTTCTGGAATGATGGGGCGAGGAGTTCTGACCCCCTTGCCTGCTCCTCCTCCTCAACAGATGACCTTCCTTGCCACTTCACTTCTGCCTTCGGGGCAGGTTTCTGCACCACCATCATTGCCTCCCCTGTCGACGTAGTCAAGACGAGATATATGAACTCTGCCCTTGGCCAGTACAGCAGCGCTGGCCAATGTGCCCTCACCATGCTCCAGAAGGAGGGTCCCCGAGCCTTCTACAAAGGGTGAGTCTGTGATCCACCCCACCCGATTCCAGGCCTCCTATTACACCTGGAACTGAGTAGCAACCAGTATCAAACTTTCTGATCACGGTCCTGGTATTTCATCGGCATTCTGTCATGCTCATAACTCCTTCCTCTCAGAGTTGCTGCCTGCTTTGTGGGTATTTAAATGGAGACTCGCAGGGCATTCTTGCTCACAGCTACACAGCTGTGAGGCCCTGGGCCCTCCCAACCTCCTTTGGGACAAAGCACTGGGTTGGGTTGGATGCCAGGGCCCAGTGGGGTGAGCAGGAGGTGGAGGTCCCCCCTGTGACCGGTGTTTTCTCCCTTCTAGGTTCATGCCTTCCTTCCTCCGTTTGGGTTCCTGGAACGTGGTGATGTTCGTCACCTATGAGCAGCTGAAACGGGCACTCACGGCTGCCTGCACTTCCCGGGAGGCTCCCTTTTGAGCCTCTCCTGCTGCCAACCTGACCACCTCTGGCTTGGCTTCAGCTCCAGCCAGGCCCTCCTTTTCCTCTTCCCCTCCTTCCCTTCCCTCACTCCCCACCCCTTCCTTCTCCCATTTCTACCATCTCCCTTCCCTCTCCCCACATTTTCACCTCTCCTCCCTACCTCATCTCCCCATTGCCTCTCAGTCCTGGTGGAATTGACCCCAGTTGTCACCAACCAGGATCCCAAGCCCCTCAGACCCTTGAGAAGTTCAGCCCATCTCTTTATCTTATTCCCATGCTAAGCCAGCACGTCATCCATAAAACAAGCTCAATCTTGGTGTCTCCTCCCTCTCTTATAGCTGTTAGCAAAGATCTTAGTTTGGTGGGCCCTTTTGGCACCTGGTGGCAGTGGGAAGCCACCCTAACTTGAAAGGGGTGGTGTAACCCACTTTCCACCTCCAGTGTCCAATCTGGGGCCCATGGACGTCATCTAGTCTGTTGCACTTTCCAGAACAGGCCTGGTGCTGAGGTGGCATGAGAAGGAGCAGTGGCTTTGCTGTCACCAGGCTCCTTGAGCTTTCCCCCAGTGCTTGGTACTCCAACATTTGCCTTTCTCGCCCCTCAGCTGGCCCCAGGCCTGCTGATCTGCAAAATGAGTGTTCCTGTCTGCTCTGCATCTCCTGTGCTTCTTGGAAGATTTAGAGGAACTTGGGAATCAGATGCTGTGGGCTTACTTTATTCCATTTTATAAACGGGAAACCGACCTCCCCAAAGTCCCAGACCTAGTGAGGGCGCGTTGGGCTGCCTCCCATCCTCCAGGTTCCCATCCTTGGGAGACAGTGTTGCTGCTCTGGGAGGGCAGGCCGCCGGGCAGACATCTGGCCTCAGCCTGAGGGTAATTTACACTTGGAGCCTCACCCTCTCCCCGGGCTAGAGATCCCAAGGAAGCAGTGGCAAGCCCTGGCTTAGCTGCATTGGGGTTGACACATTTCTGTCCCTCTTCCTACCACCTGTCCTCAGGCAAGAAAGCAGGTGGGCAGGGCTACTTTTGTTTCAAGGGGTCAGGTACTGTGAGGTCCTAAAATCTCAAATACCTCATGCAGGGCTGAGCCCTTAGAATTAAGCCCACCAGACCCATCATAGATGTCTGAAGAATCTGAGGGCTGAGACAGGTCATGCCGGCAAGGACACAGGACCTCAGCAGCTGATCTTGGACTCCTCCCTCCCTGTGGACTCTCCCACAGAGACCCTTGCTGGGGTCCTGCAGGAATCCTGTTGGGTAGCTGTGGAGCCAGGTTGCGAGAGCATGACCCTCCTCACAGCCTAAAACAGCTGATGCTGCTGCTCTTCCATTGGTCATAGCTGGAGGCTAGGCTTTCAGCACCTGGGCAAGTGGTTCAGGATATTAAACAGGTTCCTGGAGAAGGAAGAAGGGCCCAGCTTCTGACAAATTAACTCAAGGTCTCAGTCCCCAAGAGGGACACAGCGGGGTGCCATGAGTGCCCGGCAACTCAGCCAAACTGTTCTCTACTGGGCTACAGGCAGGCAGTGTAAATGGAGGCTCCTGGCAATGTCTTCGACACCTTGTCACTGTTTTACACCAGAGGACCTGAGGGACAATTTGTCACCCTAGGCATGTCAGCTGGTTCATTTCAGCAGGCTTGTGTCCCAGACACGGACAGGTGTGCACCAGGTTTCACCGTGGTTCCGGGTATGATCCAGGGGCGATGAGCTGGGAAAGGTGGTAGGAGCCATTGGACAGCGTACCACCACTAGGCCACTAACTGGTCCTCAGTCCTTAATGCCTATAAAATGGGTGTGTGATAGGCCCTGCTTTGCCTATTCACAAGGTATCAATTGGAGATTGATAGAGTGGACCCAGGTTTTGAGCAGGGCATGGCACTATCTCCTTACATCCTTTCTTGGCTGAAAAACAAGATCTTCCTTTAGAGTTTCACCCTGGGGAAGAGGTAGCAGACTTTCCAGCTGGCCTGGCGGAGACCTGGAGTGCTGGAATAACCCAGTGCAGGCCCACATGTCCTTACCTAGTCACTGTTCTCAGAACGGGGCTGCTACCACCACTCAATCACCCAGGTTGTGCCTCAGAGGTCATATTTGGCTTCACCTGGTTTGCACAAGGACTGCAAGATAAGGGTTGTAATCTTTGTATGAATCAGATTTCAGAGAAGGGAAGGGGTTTAACTAAGGGCACAGCTGGTAAACAGCACATCTGAGGTATATCTGACTCCAAAGCCATGATTATGCAAAGATACTCCCTAGACCCCAGGTCCAGATCCTACACCTTGGGCTGCTACTGCCATTCCCTGATAGATTACAAATGGCTGACTAGTGCTGCTGAGTCCCCATTGAAGGAAGAGCCTTAAGCTAATAATGATGCTTTGAATGGTGGAATCCAAACAATGTGGGAGCCCTTTCTGCCACCTCCGAAGTCTTCACAAAAGTGGCCACTTTGTCATAAAATTGGACCTACCCCAGCCCAAGCCTAGACTCAGGAGAGTCTAGGCACAGAAGAGGTGCCCACCTCACAGTCTGACGGATGAAGGCAGATGGGGAGGCAAGTGTGGTCTGCACAGGCCCGGCTGGATCTGGAGGCTGGCACTCCTGCAGGCCACTTGGACAGCAGTGCTGGGCCTGAAATCAAGTTCACCAAGCACTTTCACACAATGACCTGGTCCTCACAAATAGCTGAGGAAGGGTCTCCAAGGCCACCATGCCTAGAGGCAGCCCAGGACCCCCTCGCTGCTCAGGCCAGGGAGTTGAGGCTGGCAGGATAGAAAACAGCCATTTCCAGCGCTTGTGTCCTTTGTGCTGCCTCTGGGCAGGGTGAGTCTGTGGGAAGTGGCCTCTGAGGTTCTGATGACAGCTGTGCCACTGAGCCCTGAGACAAGTGTTTTCTTGTACTTCAGTTTTCCCGAGTACAATGTGACCTTATCACACTAGAGACTTGAGCCCTTTTAAAGACCATGTGTCCTGAGAAATCAGCAGAGCTGGGGACCCTCAGGCTGCACAGCACTGCCCCAGGCTCTCAAGGTGGGAGCATAAAGGCTCTGAACCCTCAGGGACCCAGCCACACCCCACAAAGTCAGGGCAGGGACCCAAGAGGGGCTATATGAAGCTTCTCTCCTCCAACACACTCCTGGGTGTAGTGAAGTTAGCAAATAAGTCTTTATTTGTCAGCCCATCCTCATGCCATACCTGTGCAGTGGGCTGGCTTCCCTGAGCACCCGAGGCTGTGGGAAGTAGAAATGGGGTAAGGCCCCCCACAAGCCTCCTCTGACCGCTGCTGCAGCCCCCAGCCCACCAGTTACGTCAGCAATGCCTGGCGCAGCATCTGCTTCTTCTGGGGTGTGAGGCGGGTGGGGAACTGGATTTCGAAGAAGATGAAGAGGTCCCCCTTCTTGGTGGGGTCCTCAGGCAATGGCATCCCCTCACCTGGCACCTTCTTGCAGTACTTAGGACTGAGAGAAGATGAAAGAAGAGAGTTGAGAGGGCACCCCAGAGCAGCATCTGGACAGAGCCCATGCCCGCCCTGCTCACATCACCTCAGGCATGGGGCAGTCGCTACAGCTTCCACCATGGGCAGTAGCTTTCTTCAGCCAGAACTGGGTGGGAGGAGAGGAGGCTGGCTTGTTCCAGATAGTTTGCTCCCTGAGAACCCATTTACACTGAGTCTCTGGGAGTATTTCGGGAATCTCATTTTAGAGATGGGAAACGAGTGAGTAGACCCTGGCTTGGTGGGGAGTGCTGGGCTGCTGAGCAAAGCTTCCCATGCAGAGGGCCCTCCTTGGAAAGGGCTCATTGGGGTTAACTCAGAACTCTAATGAGAGCTTTTGGAGGATGGAAGATGAAGGCAACAAGGATTGCCTAACACTGTGGGCCTCTAAAGGGGCTTTGTGAAAGTTAGAAAAAGGCACCCCGTTGGCCCGGAGAGGCAGAGTGGAGACTGGATTTTAGTCCTCTCTCGCCCCCTTGTGCTTAGTGCAACCTCAACAACTGCACTAGGCCAACCTGTCTGATGCTACCCTCTAAGGCCCAAGCCAGCGCTTCTGCCTATGGAGGCCCCAGCAGATGGACTCACTGGATGATGTCATTGATGGGGATGTTGAGCAGCCGGTCATCTAGGGTCTTCACCTCCACGGTGCAGCAGGTCAGAGCCTAGGGGGCATTAGGGCCAAAGGCAGGAGTAGGGAAGGACCCCATGGCCATTCTGTTCAGAAGGCACTTTATAATCCTCTTTAGTACCAGGCCCCAAGCTGAGCCTCAAGGAGATAAAGGGATATCCAAGAACTAACAGGTGAGTGAGCCAGACAATTACCTGCCCTCAAGGAGTTCGGTCTGGTAGGCAAGACTGATGTTGATATGTGTTATGATTGAGGGAAGTAGAGGGGTCGGTGGGAGCCAAGGAGAGCCGCCCCCCAAAAGACCATTCTGGAGTGAACAAAAGGGCTACACGGTGCTGGTAGCAGTTGATGAGGGCTTTAAAGAGTGAGGAGGAGCTTACCAGTTAGACAAGGTGGGTAGATAGCACTTCAGGCCGAGGGGCCAGAATAAACAAGAGAATGAAGGTGTGAAAATGTACCAAATGGGCAGGAGCTCTAAGTGGCATGGTGGCTGGAGGGCAGGGGATGAGATCAGCAGAGGCCAGATTGTAGAGGGCCTCCAATGCCATGCAAAGATGTTTAGACAGGAGTGTGGCACGGTCAGATAAGGAAACTGCTGGTGGAGTCAGGAAGGCCACCAAAGAGACTGCTGCTCAGACCCAGATGGGGGGGATGAACAGAAGTGGACCAAGTGGAGAGGGACTTGGAGGTGGAATTGACCGGACTTAGTGACTGGCTGCAGGTGGGTCGGGGAGGAGAAGCAAAGTCTAGGCTGGTGCCGTTTCTTGCTTGGGTTGTAAGGGTGTGGAGGGGACACTCATGCTCGGGAGTGAAGCTGGCCACAAAGATTCCGTGTGGCAGTCACCACATTCTGAAGGCCTGCTTGCCTCGGGGCCTCCCATAGGGAGGAGGAGCTCAGTCTGATCCACCCACCCCCGAATTTTCCACTTTAGCCACTCACCTTGCCCAAGGGGATGGAGTTCACAAAAATGAGGTTGTCATTCTCCCTGCGGAAGCGAGGGTGTAGCTTCTCCTTTACGATGAAGATGATGTCTGCTGGGATGATGTTGGGGCCCTGGGCAGAGGGGGCCAAGGGAGGACAGGACTAATTGGCGTGTGACCTTGGCCAAGTTATTGACTCTACTGGTCTCCAGGTCTTCATCAAAACAATGAGATTAGACCATTGTTCTTTTAAATTTTTTTAATTTTTATTTTTGTTAGTCCTCACTTGAGGATATTTTCCCATTGATTTTTTAAAATTTATTTTATTGATGTTTTACAGAGAGGAAGGGAGAGGGATAGAGAGTTAGAAACATCAATCAGCTGCCTCCTGCACACCCCCTACTGGGGATGTGCCCGCAACCAAGGTACATGCCCTTGACCGGAATCAAACCTGGGACCCTTCAGTCCGCAGGCTGACACTCTATCCACTGAGCCAAACCAGTTAGGGCTTCCCATTGATTTTTAGAGAGAGTGGAAGGGAGGGGGAGACACAGAGAGAGAGAAACATTGATGTGAGAGAGAGACATCGATTTTGGTTGCCTCCCGCACATGCCCTGACCAGGGCCGGGGATCGAACCTTCAATCGAGGTACATGCCCTTGACCAGAATCGAACCTGGGACCCTTCAGTCCTGGCTGATGCTCTATCCACTGAACCAAACCGGCTAGGACTAGACCAGCCGTGGGCAAACTACGGCCCGCGGGCCGGATCCGGCCGTTTGAAATGAATAAAACTAAAAAAATAAAAAAGACAGTACCCTTTTATGTAATGATGTTTACTTTGAATGTATATTAGTTCACACAAACACTACATCCATGCTTTTGTTCCGGCCCTCCGGTCCAGTTTAAGAACCTATTGTGGCCCTCGAGTCAAAAAGTTTGCCCACCCCTGGACTAGACCATTCTTTTTTTTTTTTTAATATATTTTATTGATTTTCTACAGAGAGGAAAGGAGAGAGACAGAGAGTCAGAAACATCAATGAGAGAGAAACATGGATCAGCTGCCTCCTGCACACCCCCCCACTGGGGACGCGCCCGCAACCAAGGCACATGCTCCCGACCGGAATTGAACCTGGGACCCTTCAGTCCGCAGGCTGACGCTCTATCCACTGAGCCAAACCGGTTAGGGCTAGACCATTCTTGATGGGCCCTTACAGTTTGACTCCATAGCCTCTCCTCTGAGAAAATTTTCCCTGTTGAATCTGTGCTCCCAACCCATTCTTTCTCCTCTACTGAGCATGCCCAAATAGATGCACTCAGCCGAAGGGAGACAGGCTTCCTTAGATGGTGGGTGGAACACCGAGCTGGGTGTTCTACAAAGCCTCTGTCCTGCCAAACTTCACCAAGTCACCAAAATTCTAATGAGCTCTCTTTTGCGCCCTGGGACAAAGGAATCAGACCTGCCCCTACCCCCAAGAGCTCCAGTCTAGAGGGGTAAACAGGCACATAGCGAATCCTCAGCATGTTCAACACTGATAAAGGGAACCCAAGGGCAGTGTTATAGTAATAAGTTTGAATTTATAGTGATAGGAAATAAAATTGTATTAGTGTGTGGTTTGGTATTATAAAGTTTATTCTAAAACTCCATCTTATATTGGAGGCATAACTTCATTTTGTATTAGAAGTGAAACACTGAAGAAATTCAATCACTAGAGTTAGGACTGGGTTCTCTTTTCAGCTCTTGTGCTCTTGCCTTGGGCAAGAGCCTCCCCTCTCTGGGCCCCAGTTTCCCACTCTGCAAAATGGAGAGAAGCCCTAAGCTGCCCACTCACAGAGGTGTTGTGAGGCTCTGTCCCATGGAAGGGACATTAGGGATCATCTCACCCCCTCTGCAGACTGCTCTCCCTGCCAGACCAGGGTTCACAGGAGCAGAAAAAAGTATTGCCTCCTTGCCCCCCACCCTGCCTTCCCACCACCTGAGCCCAGGTAACTGATCCTGGGACTGACCTTAATCAGTTTCCTTCCCTCTCACCTGGTCACCTTCCTTCTCAAAGGTGATTCGTGTGCCTTGCCTCCAACCAGGCTTCACATCAATTGTGAGGATCTTGTCCTTGATGGTAGAGGAATACCCATCCTCGTTCAGCACCTGCAGTGGGATGGTGGGAGGAGAATTGGTCAGGATTTCCCAAGGTGAAAGAAATGCCGAAGGATCTGCGCTGGAGCTCAGTCCTCTAGCAATGGGGAGAACCTGCCTTGAGCCATTGCCACTCCCACCCCATTCCACCAGAACAGGAACTTAGGATTCCAGGATGGTGGGCATGTTATGGGGCCAGGACCTCAGATGCCAAGCAGTCACCATGAGTGGATCAAACCACTCTGGCCCTAGAAATCATGTGGCCCTGGCCACTAACAGATGCACAGTGAACATGTACTTAATTCCTCTCTCCCACCCCAGAGGATGACACAGAACTCAACATATCTGAGCATCAGCTGAAGCATTCCCCTCTTATGTCACCCATCCATCCCCCAATCGCATGCCCACATGGGTGCCATCTGTGGAAAGCATGACCACAACTGGCATCTACTCTGCTGGGCAAAGTTTGAGGGGACCTTGTTCCTGTGCTAGCACAGGGCTGGGCCAAGAATTCCTCAACCAGTCCCCTCAGGGACTGTCTCCCAGCCCACCCTTAATTCCCACACTGCTCTTTCTTACTCATGGATCATACCCCAGATGAAATCCTGAGGGTATGGTCTGGTAACTTCCAGAGGGCAGAAGTCACAGTTTTAGCTCCTCCCTTTCAGAGCCCATGGGGATGTGGCTGAACTGAGAAGGGAAAGATCCTCTCCCAATGAGAAATGTTGCAGAGGGAATTCCTACACGAGGAAAGAACCAGGCCTCACTTGTCCCCTCCAAACTCCAGATTCTAGTATTCTGCAATCCTAGGTCTCCGAGTCTAAGATTGCAGAATTCCATCAGAGACCAACCTGAGGTCTCTAGAGTCAGGGTGACTGTTAGGGTTGGAGGGGACAGTTGATGGCTCCCTGTAGGAACAAGCCAAGTACTCACCCTGCGGGAGATCTTGATTTTCTTGGTGCAGCCAAAAAATAAGTCCTCCAGGGATAGGTAGAGGTCTCTTTCTATTGGGAGGTCCTGTTTCTTGACCCCTCGGCCCCGGAGCCCCCCAAAGTTCAAATCCACCTCTTGTCCTTCTGCATCAAAAAACTCTGCAGAAGGTGGGGAGAGGAGTAAGAGGAATTGTGTCTAGAGACTTGGGTTGATAGAACTTCCCCTACCCCTCCTCTTCAGTTCCCAAGGAAATTGGGTGCTGGTAATACCTAGCATCCGATTTCCATCTTGAAGACTCAGACTTGGGCCAAGAAACTGTCCTCAATTGCAGATCCAATGATTGTCATGCCTTGTCACTCCCCATTGCTTCATCCCCCACTTTGGACACCCCCCTTTCCTGACTTCCTTTCCCCACAACTGTGAGCAATGGACTATTATAGCCACTTAATAGTGAGGAAGCTGAGGTTTCAGAGATGAAGAGATTTGCCCAGGATTACAGAGCTCATAAGTGGCAGCACATGGATTTGAAACAGGCCATCTGAATCCAAGTCTCTTGCTTTTCCCAGTCTTACATGGAGTTTATTATAAACTCAGGTTTCTTTGGCAGATATGTGAAGGCAATGCACAGTGGGAGGGGTATCTGAGGTGAAGGGGCAGTAGGCTGTAGCCCACTTATCATAGTAACATGGAAAAGAGGTAGGTGGGGGGGGGGTCAAGCGGGGAAAAAAGGAGACATATGTAAAACTTTAGACAATAAATAATTTTTTTTAAAAAAAGAAAAGAGGTAGAGAGAACTTTTGAAATGCAGAAAGGCTATGGTATAACCAGGAAGAAGGGGCTGGGCGAGCCAGGCAGTGAAAATCTACTCTCTTGCGTTGCAGAACTGGAGCCTGGAAGACAGGTTTGAAGGTTAACTCCTTGCAAAGTTAACTTTCTGAGCCTCAGAAATCAACTCTTTGTCCGTCTCTCTGAGACCTGGGACCTGTGATCATCCACCCATCCATCCATGGAGTCATCTGACTAACACACACACCTGTGCAATGAAAGCTTACGCAGCCGTAGAAATGAATAAAGTAAATCTATATATAATTTATAATAAGACAAGTGAAAAAAAAAACTGTGTGTACAATGTGGGCCCACTTTCTTAATAAAATAAAAGGTTGATGTAAAAATAAAACTATGCTCAGAAATGCATAGACAATCTCTGGAATAATACATAAAATGTTAACTGTGAGTGGCGGCTTCTGGGAAAGGACTGGAAGGCTGTAATTTATTCTTCAATAAATTATTTCTTTACCACGGTACATATATATGTAAAAGGGAAAAAAACTACTCGAAGAAAAGCATCTTTACAGCTATGTCCAAGGCAAGGGGATAGGCAGAACCTCTTACCACTAAAGGGGTTGTTTCCTCCGAAGAACTCATGGAAAACCTTTTCAGCGTTGCCATGGAAGACGTAACCAGTTGCCCAAGGGGTCTCGGACCCAAACCCCAGAGGAATCCCGCCCTTCAGACCCTCTTCTCCAAACTTGTCATAGATGCTCCTCTTCACAGCTGTGGATATATGCCACTTTGAGAAGGAGGCAGAGTCTTGGGGGCTAAGATAGCTAGAAGGCTGAGAAGGAGGAGGATATGGGGAAGAACATAGGATGAAAGCATCCATATTTCTAGTTAGGGGTTTAATTTCGTTGTGGTGGATCTGGGTATGCCCTCCTCCAGAGAAGAGAAGGGAAAGACTACGTTTTGCTGAGGAGGGGTGGGGATTGGAGTAGAAACAGGGAGACTAAGGGTCAGGCTATCCCTCTGGGATTTAGTTTAATCCATCATAACTGCTATCTCATCTGTACAGTAAAAATAATCCTAGAACCTCGACATTTCAGAATCTAATAATTCTAGAGCTCCCAAATTCTAGAGTTTTGAAACCCTAGGGTCTAAATTCCTGAAAACTCCGGCTGGGAAAACCAGTGATCTGTCCGTT